CTTGGACCCTGTGTGAATGCCCCTCTGGGCATATGTGCTGGATGGGAATGCACGTGAGTATGCATGCAGAATACACTCAGGTGTAGCAACAGTGTGTGTAGTTGGACATATGCTCATCTGGGCATGAGGCTGCGTTGGAATATGTATGTACCTGGGGAAGGAGACTGAGGGCATTTAACTCTTCCCATGTGTCTCTTGCTTTTACTCCAGGCTTTAAGAAATTACTTCTTCCACACGCCCAACCCACAACACACCCACACTGTCCAGCTCCCTAGAATCACGTCTTCCCTTCTAAGAGTTACGATTCCAGGGAGAGTGCACGGGACTAAAAGCCCAGAGACCTGGTGTGTGGCCCCCACTTGTTAGCTTTGCAACTGAACAAATCATTTCTGCTCCCTGAGCCTCATTTTCTTCATCTGTGAAATGGGGTGTTAAACGGTCATGTCAGCACCTAGAATTTAGGGCCCAAGTCCCTCATCCCCTGGCCTCACCTGCCCGAACTCCCCACCACCCTTCTCTCCTTGGACATCCTCATCCATCACCTCGCCAGTTGGGGTGGGGGCAGAGAGGACTCAGGCCCAGCCTCTGAGGAGCACACAGGCATCTTGGAAGATGGCTCTCCTTTCCTCTTCTACTCCAGGCCCTCTGCGAGGCAGCTCCAGGGAATTTCTAGAGCTCCTGGAACACAGTTTGAAAATCACACATTTAGGCAGCCTGATGATCTTCATTCTCTTGGTTTCTCAGAGGATCCTAAGAAGGACCAGTGCCTATGGTGCAGCAGAAAAAGTTCTAGATGGCATTGGTTCATCCCATGAGGATACTGCCTCTCGGTTCCTGGATGAGAGGGCAGGGGATAAGGGCTGGTTTCTGGAGTGGGCGGTCTCCTGGCCCTGCAGCCTGTGTGTCCGGGGGTTCAAGGGCCTGTATGGGGCAATGGGGATGGCTCACACACCTTCATGGGGCTGAGCTTCCCAAAGCTCGCTGCTGCTTGCCCTGTCGTGTTTCAGCTGCTTCCAGGCCCTCCAGCAAGCACTCCTTGAGGCACCTGGGGCAGCCCAGAGCCTCCCTGGCTGCTTGACCCCAGCACAGATGCAGGAGGTGACCAAAGTGCCTTCCAAAGCAAGCTTCTCCATAGAAAGACACAAGTATGCCCCAGTCCGGAATTCAAGGCCCACGCCATTCCCTAAATAGGAGCTGAATGGGCCAATGCACAAAAGACAGTTACTTCCCACCCTTCCCATGCCCTTCAGGCGTGTAGAAAATGAAAACATTTATATGTCTCCTGGGGAAAATGGAAAAGGCTGTTTATGGCTACTTGGTGGTGGAGGGGGGGGATGCTGAGGATCCAGAATTTCATGCCCCTGTCACCTGTCCTGGAACATGAGCATGCCACCTTGGGATGCTCACACCCAAAGCACGTGGCACACAGGGCATCCGACGGTGGTTCTCAGCCCCAGCTGCTCGTCTGACTGCCCTGGGGAGCTTCAACAAACTCTTTTGCTCAGGGCTTACCACAGACCAACTGACTAATTATCTAGGGTGGTGAGGCCCGGGCGTGGGTATTTAAAAGCTCCCCAGAGGAGTGTGCAGTGCCGGGAGGGTGGAGAAGCAGTGGCCCGAGACATGGTGAGGGGTCCGTACATGTCGGCTACCTGTGATGGAGCACCGGGGACCTGCGGGGGCTGTTCTTGCCTGAGCAGTGAAAGGGCGGGCTGGGGTGGGGGCCAGGAGTCAGGGACAGAACTGCTGTCAGGAAGGGTAATTTCTGGGCAGGGTGGCCTGGCATCCATCTCCCTCAGCCATGTCTATGAAAAATTGAATTAAAACCCATATCTTTTAGCTGCGGCCCACCTGGCTGGCTGGCTGGCTTGTGGAAGGGAGCAAGGCAGTGAATACCTCATGGCAGGGAGAAGCTGGTGAGGCAACAGCCAGTCTCCCTCCCTAGGGGACAGGAGGCAGCTTAAGGGGTCCTTTGGGAGAGGACCATTCCCAGGGGTGGTCCTTTAGCCTCCCGTCTTCCCAAAGCCAGGCAGGAAGGGTGGGATTCGTGGGCTGGCTAGCTTGGAAGGTCAAGGTTAGAGCTTCAGATGAAGTTGATTTTTTGGACAAGTGGGTGAGGGAGCAGAGAAGAGGGTGGCCCTGGCCCTGTCCTTGGGGAGGCTGAGTCTGGGGGAACAGAACTGGAGCAGCTCCTGCTCATGGAGAGTTAGAGTTGTTTAGGGAGACCAGAGTGGCATGCCAGCAACAGGCAGAGAACACTGCAAACACAAAAGCCTGACCGGGGCTTCCAGAACCATGGGGGCAGCTCACCTGGTAGGTCATGAAGTTGGGCACCAGGATGTGGGGTTTAGTGCCCAATCTGATAAGAAAGTTGCCTGTGTGTCCTTGGGCTAGTCCTGTTGCCCTCTGGGCTCAGGCACCCATTCATAAAGGAGGGGCTAGACAACCCTCCCGGACTCCTGCTCTGATGTTCGTTCCATGCCTCACCCAGGTGGAGGCTACTAGGAGGGGCTTCTGGGATTAGAATCCAAGTCTACAAGGGCTGGAGCCTATAAAGAAAGCACCTTGGAGAGAATTAGAGCGGTGTCCCCTCTGGGTGGATCAACTAGGAAAAAGTGCTCCTTTTGGGTGGACTCGGGGCATGACTGGCTTAGTGGGCAGTGGGCGGTGGGCAGAGCAGGAGCTGAATTCCCACCCCCACTGGCCCCTTCCAGGTCCCTTTGTGCAGGGTACAAATATCACTGGAGCCCTGACTGACCTCTAGAATACAGCTCACCCTCTGGCCATGGGCTCTGGAGCAAAGCGAGAATGGGTGAAGGGAATGGGTGTGAGCAAAGGGCGGCTGGGTTCCTCCCCTGCTCCATGACTGCTCAGGCAGAGAAGGGGTGCACCTTACCAACCTGCCCACAGCCCTCACCGAGACGTACATCTGGGAATGCAGAGCAGAGAACAGGGGAACCCAGGATAGAACACAGAGAACCACGAATATGGAAGAGCGTATAAACCCGGAGCCGAATGCAGAACTTCAGAGCTGAGGGGCCCTCATCTGGGCATCGTGGCCTCCGACATTTCCAGGGTTAGCTGCTCTGCCTTAGGTAACCCCAATCTCCACCCTGCCCCACACTCATGGGCCCCCAGTGTCCTGCACTCTATACTTCTCTCTTGACTCTGAGACTCCTAGCAGCCTTCCTTCCCTTGCATGCATATTTCACAGTTTACAGAGCACTTTCACACATGGCATCTCAGTTGATCTTCACAACACCGGAGAAGTCGGAGGCAGATGAAGGAAGTAGACTCCCAGGGGTCAGGACAACAAGCTAAGAAGCAGTGTAGCCAGGTTTAGAGGGAGGTCCTGTCTGTCTGACTCCAGCACAACACCTGGCCCTCCTCTCTCCAGAGGGATCTCATTCTTTCTCGATACAGAGAAGACTGATGCCCTCCTTCTCCAGGAAGCTTTCCTGGACTGAAAGGACAATGAGCCATGCAGACTAGCAGTTGGGGTGCCATTGGGGATCAGTGTTCACTGGGCAGGAAAGAGAAATCATCTATTCGCTTCATGGACCTTGGGAACTCCATGCATCTTTCTGGGAGCTCAGATTGCTTCCTTCAAGTTTCCACGTGGATCCCTCTCCATCTGGTGGACCTCATCCTCAGTTTCACTGCAGCCCCCAAGGGTGGCTCAAGTCTTTCTCCTCCTGCCCCCTCCGTGAGGCTTCCTCTCAACAAGGTGGCCATCCCCAGACCTTGGCCCAAAGGGAGGCTGGGCAAGAACACCCTTGAATGGGCAAGGACAGTTCTGAGGTTGCTGGACCGAGGAGCTCTCTGATGCTGACAACTGGGTAGGACCCAAAAACTGAGAGCAGAGGCAGGTGGGAGCAACTTGTGGATCGGGGTGGGGTGGACAGAGGGGAAGTACTTGCCTGGGGGTGGGTAACTAACTACTTTCAGTCAGGCTTTGTATTAACCACCATCTACATGACCTTGACCTGATTAGTTCTCATTAAGCCTCAATTTACCTGTGTGTACTAGGCGGTGGGTGAGCAGGACCACAATGACAATAGCAATAGTAATTTATTCAGCAGCAGTGAATAAATTAAATCAGCGACAAGCTACTAGGGGGTGCTTGTACCATTCTTATTCAGTGCCGCTGCCAAGACCCTGCTGGGAAGAGGGGGTACTATGACTCCCTTATGCAAGTGAAGAAGTTGAGGCTCAGAGAGGTCGTCACCCAAGCTCACAGGGCTAGCTGAGGTACAGGGGGGACTGGAGCCCAGGCAGCCTGATTCATGTTAAGTCGCCTCTGCCCTGTAAGCACCCTCACCCCTTTTCTGGCCATGGAGGCGTTCTCCAGGTGATCACGTTTTAGGATACTCTGCTAGGCGCCCCGAAACTAGCTGACCCTCTTAGGCCCGGGCTGTGGGGGCACAGAAAAGCCCAAGAAGGGTCTGGGATTTGCCCAGTAAGGAAGGCTTCCCAGGGGAGGGGGAAAACAGGGACTGACAGGGAATCTTGAAGACCAGGGAAGGAGAAGGAAGAGGGCTTTTTCTGGGTTTCATGGGGAGGGTGGAAAGGAAGGCTGTGAGCCCCAGAGAAGGCCTGACTCTGAGCCCTGGAAGCCCCGAGACACGGGGGGGCTGTCGCCTCCGCATCCGCGTCCCCCCACCCCATCTCCCCGCCGCAGCTCGGGCTCTTGTCTGCGCGGCGGGAGAGGACGGGCTGCAGCCCTGAGATCGGGATTGCGATCGCGCTGCCCTCGGCCTAACCCCACCCCCAGGCGCTCATTGGCCTGCATCTCCCCCAGCCTGCGAAGTCCGCGGGGGGAGGCGGGGGTCGGTCGCCTCCCTCCTGCCCCGGGCCTGGCTTCGCAGCGGAGGCGGCGCCTCTCCTGCAGGACGGAGCCCAGCTGGGCCGCCGCGCAGCGCGGGGCGGGCGAAGGCAGGCGGGGGGCGCTGCGCTCGGGCCCCGGGCGGTGACTGACAGCGGCGGCGGCTCCGGGCGAGCTCGGTCCCCGCGTGCGCACACGCACACGCCGCCGCGCAGGGACACACGGACCCCTGCGGCCGCACGGACGCGGAGACCAGGCTCGGCGCGCGCGCTCCTCGGCGCACACGCTCCCCATCCCCGGGCGGCGCGGGGCGCGGACTCGCCGGCTGCGCGCCCTCCCCGTGGAGTCTGCCCCGGGCCGACCCGCAGCCCCCGGCCAGGCCCCGCAGTGAGCAGGTAAGGGCCGCCCCACCGCTCCTGCCCCTCCACGCCCAGGCTGCCCTCTCCCATCTCCAGAACCTTCGCCCAACAGGACCTCGGACCCCCTCCTCTGGCTCGGCGCTCTCCGCAAGCCCCGTCCTCCACCGACGGAGAGCCGGCGAGGGCCAGCGCCGCGCAGACCTCCTGCATCCAAACGAAGCCCCCTCCCGCCGCTGCCCTCCCTGCGCAGACCCCCGCCCCCAAGTGTGTGGGACCGTGCTCGAGGCGACGGATCCCTGCAGCCCGCCAGGGTGAGGGTCGGCCTTGCTATCTTGCGCTCCTCCCGGTGCCCAGAAGGGAGAACCAGGGGCAAGGAACGCACTGCGGCCGGAGGGACCCAGAGGGACCTGTTTCCCTAGACCCGAAGCGGACGGACGTGCCTACGCCGATCTGGAAAGCGACGCCGGGGGTCTCCGGGGGGCTGTTGGGGGGGCTAGGTATCGCAGCCCGCACGGGTCTCGAGGGATGGGCGAGCTGTGTGCTGGGTAGGGAGTGGGGTAGGGGCAAGCGTAGAATGACCCCCTATAGTGATGAATTCGGATTGTTCCAGAGAGAGTCGACTCACGCGGCGCTGCGCCGAGGGGCTGGGGTGGGGGATGCCTGGGCTTCGGTGGTCCCTAGAGGAAACGCCCTGCGGGGCCTGTGGGAGAAACGCACCGGCCCCCAGGCTGAAGTGAGTCCGCCTGAGACCCCTGCCGGCCGTCTTAAAGGCACAGGCTCCTGGGGCAGCTGCAGGGGGCGGAGGCCACATCCTCAGCAGGACCTTGGCGGGCCAGAGGGGACCAGGGAGCCCATGGATGGAACTAGACCCTCAGGAGGGAGCCCGGCCAGAAGCTGGTTGCATTTCGCCTGGAGCTGGAAGGCGCTCAGGTCCCTTCAGCAGATCCTGGGGGTGGGGCGGCAGACACCTGCTAATTCTTCAGACTATTTTTATACTTTTAGTGCAGGTGCCTCGGATTCCATTTCTTTACCTCCCTCAGCCTTGCAATGTCCCACAAAGCCCCCCAGCCCCCAAGAGAAATCCAAAAGACACAGCATTTGGCTTTTCTTGTGGGCAGCCTCTGGGGGGGCTGTTGGGGGATGGGAGGGGCTACACACAGCAGGTGGAGGGCAGCTTGCTCTGGGACTGCAGTTGGCCAGAGGCGGACAGGCATCCTGAAGGTCAGGCTGGAGGCTTTTGCATGTGAATTTCAGAAAAGGGCAAAGAACTACGTTTGAGCCTTTGGGAGTCGGGGTCAGCAGGGGGCACCTCGATTTTCTCAGGAGGCCCCAATTAAATGAGTTTGGTACTGGCTGCAGGTGGGCTGGTGGAGCCCCCAGTTTTAAGCCGAGTCTGGGACTCCTGCTCTTCACTGACCTTGGGGAGGGCAGGCAGAGGTGCCTGTCTGGACACAAGCCGAAATATGAACATACAGATTAGAGACAGAATACGCTGGCGCGGGTCCTGGGCCGCATCTTCCAACCAATCCATCAACAAGTGTGTGTGGGGTGACCAAGCAGGTGACTGAGGTCTCTTCCCTCTTCTGCCACCAATGGTTTTTTGGTGGTTGGGTGTCTGGAACAAGATCCCCGTGAGTCTGTTTGCTCCTGTATGTGGTGAGGGGAGGTGTCTATGGGGAGCTTCTTGGAGGACCCTTTCTAGGGACTAATCCAGGCTGAAGGATGCATTAAGGTCCTGTTCTGTGTAAAGTTCAGGCTGGCAGGAGGTTGACTGGAGAAACACTTTGGGACCCATTCTTTTTGACATGGCGACCTGTCTCTGTCATGCTCCTACTTCGGGACACTCCCTCAATTTGTGTTGAATCAATAAATACACACAATGAGAGTTTACAGATCAGTGTATGTGGCTGAGAGGCTAGGACAGACACAAGCCAAGGCCACAAGGTGCCTTTCCTCCTGGGGCTGGGGCTTAGGCTTGAGTGTCCTAGGTTGCCATCCTCCCAGGGACAAACATTTCCTTAACCTAGAGTTGGCACTGATGAAGTGGGGGACACCTTGTGCTGTCTGCCAGGGAGAAGAGCCAAAGTGTGCCAAGCACAGAGCGTGGGCTCAGCTCAGTGCCAAGAAGGTCTTGCTTACCTGAGACTCACCCACTGTGGAGCTGACCGCACTGTCACCTGGGGTGACAATGAGTTTCCTGTGCTGGGCAGGTCTGTGAGCAGAGGTCTGATGCTTTCCACCCTGGAAGGGCTAGAGGCCTCAGGAGGCTCGGCCACTTCTGAGCAGGGGAATATAAGATTCCAGGGTCTGAACGGGGTGGTCCAGCTGCCTGGCAAAATGGAGACTGGAAACTCCTCAGCTGTGATGTGTTTGTACTCGGCTCTGGATGCCGTCAGAGGCACACAGTGACAGCCACCCCCACAGTGACACATAGAGAGGGAGTGACACACAGCCTGGGAGGCACATAGTTTTCCCATGACACCTGCCAGGGACAAGGGACAAAATAGAGACAAGGAGCGCCAGAAATACAAATGGACATCAAGACATACCCTCTTACAGGTATGGGGACATCTGGAGACTCAGATATTTGTCCGAAGAAGATCACAAAGTCTTCCTTAATGAAAGTCCATATGCATGTTGAATTCGATGGAGAAAGTCCGTGTGTGTGTGTGTGTGTGTGTATGTGTGTGTGTGTTGCATGAGCCTACGGCAAGGGTTGGCAACCTTTTTCTATAAAGTGTATTTTGTAGAAAATATACTTTATGTACCATAGAGATAGTATTTTAGGCTTTGTGGCCATATACTCTGTCACAACTACTTAATTCTGCTGCCATAGGCTAAAAGCAACCACAGATGATACATAAACAAATGAGTGTGGTTATGTTCTGATGAACTTAATTTATGGATGCTGAAATTTGAATTCATATGATTTGCATGTTTCATGAAATATGGCTCTTTTAATTTTTTTCTGTCCGTTTAGAAATGCAAAAAACATCCCCGGCTTGCTGGCTATACAAAAGTAGGTGACAGGCTGGATCTGACTGGCTGGAAGTGTTTGCCAGCTGCTGGGATATAAGGTTAGAAAAGAGAAATGGTCCAAGAGACTGAAGAAGGGGGGGGCTTACACTGAGCCTGCAATGCCGGGGTACCGGGGCCCCAGTACATTCTACCTGCAGCTCAGCGTGCCCATCTGTTTAACTCCCCACCTGGTCTCAGCACCCTACTCCAGCACCCTACTCCATCGTGTCCGTGTGATAAATCCCCCAGCGTAAAGACAACATTCATGACAGGAAAATGAAATGCTGTCTCTTGAGCTCGTCAAATAGTCCCCGAGCCCCCTTCTGTTCACCCACTGTGTTCAGGTCTGTAGCCACCCCCACTGGGAGGGAGACCACCTGGAAACCTGGGCGTGCTCCTGGTTTCTAGGCAAGACTTGACACTCATACTGAATGTGACAAGACCTGAAACAGCCCAGAGGAAGGGCTTCTCATCTCAGGGCCAGGGGTTCTCAGAGAGGGGTGAGCTCAGAAGGGGCAGGTGCAGCCAGGGTGGGCTTTCTGGAGGTGGTGTTAGGAGGTTGGGTTGGCCATGGAGGATGGCTGGATGCTGTCACCCCAGTTCTCCGCAGCCTCTATGCGTTGCCTTAGCTGTCCCCATCCTTCTCCCCAACAGATGGGCACGTAGTAGAGGGTTGGCTGAGAAAAAAATAAAATCATAGCTCCTTTGTAGGCACCTCTGAATTTTGCAGCTTCTGAAGGAACCAGGTCCTGCCTTCCGTTTCTTCCTCTCCTGCTGCCCTCTCCTGACATTTCCTTCCTGCCACCTCTTGCGGGCAGGCCAAGGAGACTCTCCTCTGGCATTTTCCCAAGTCTCTGGATTCTGTCCCCACTCTTTCCATCCCAGCTGCCCATCCCCCACCAGGCCCCCATCACCTCTACCCTGGAGCCAGAAAAGGGCCTCGGGGTGGGTTTCTGCCTGCCCTTTCCCCCTTCTTCTCTGCTCCCCAGACTTTGGAGGGATATGTCCTAAATGGAAAGCTGTCACTCCACTCCCCTACTTGGAACTCTACAGTGTCCCACTCTCATCCAATGGAACAAACCCTCTAATTGCCCCAGCTTTCGCAGACTGGCACCAGCCTTCCACCTTCTGTGCCACCCCCACTTCCTCATATCTTGCTGTGCTTCCTAACACCCTGAATCACCTTCCTGAAGCCATCTAGGAGGTACCCTTTGGAGTTTTCTGGGCACCCACCACATGCACGTCAGAGCTGGACTCACACCCACTCAGGACAGCCTGCAGCTTGACAAGGGTCAGAGGTGCTCTCAGTGCAGGGCACAACTCCCCTGAGCCACACCTGTCCCCGGCCAGTGCCTCCTCTGGGCCAGGCCTCCTGTCCCCTTGCCCTTCTCCTGCTCCCTCCCACCCTTCCACTCCTTCCCCCCTTACCTTCCTCTTCCCTCTGCCTTTTAACTTCTGCTTCCTCCTTGCCCTTTGCCTCTTGCCTGGCCCGGGGGCACACTCCCCAACTCCTCCAGGACAGGAGTTGTCCCTGTACTACCCAGGACTGAAGGGGATTCCTCATAGGAACACTTTTGGGGAGAATGACTTTGCAGGGAGGCCTTGGGGAAGTTTCCTGGTCTCCTGGGGCCTCAAACCCTCACCAGGGAAATGAGATGATGCTGCCAACGTGCATGTGCGCCCCAGCCTGGCCCTTCCCTGCCCTGAACCCGGTTCCCCCTGAAGCCCGTGTGGAATGCAGGCCAGGGGCCCATTGGGTGACCTGCCTCCTGTCACGCACTGTGGACAGGCCCTGGTGGCTCTGAAAGGGGCAGGTCTGAACACCAAGGAGAAGTGACTGCATTGATGATTAATCTTGAGAGTGCCAGGAGGGCCCTGGCCCAGGCCTTCGGCTCTGCCCTTTATCGGTTCTGGTCTCATGGAGGAGGAGAGAGGTTCTAGAAGCTCCCCCTCTTTCCCTGCAGCAGCCTCAGTCCCTCCCTTTGAGGGCTGAGTGGGTGGGGACAGTGTTTCATCTTTCAGCTGTCCCTGCCTGGTTCCCTGCCCTGGGAGGGAGAGGAGGAAGTGGGGGGCGGTCCTGCTCCGGTTTCATTAATAAAGGGCCCTGCAGAGAGCAGGGGGTTCCCTGGCCTCTTCTGTCTGCTGTCCAGGCTCAGCACTGCCCTGCGAGAGGGAGGGAGGCTGCATGGCCAGAGGGTTCCAGTAGGAAGTGGCTCAGATGGCCACAGCCCCCTGAGAGGCAGTGAGGCACCCAGGGCTGTGTGGCCCAGAGAAGAGGGAAGGGACTGTGCTGTCCTCACCCCCCTGGGGGCTTCTACCTTCCTGCCCAGGGGTTGCTAGGAAGGGCATGGGCACATCTGAGCTTCCCACCGAGGGCCTGGACCACTGCTGGAGGGGGGCTTGGGGTAGTAGGGAGATGGCTGGAGGGTCCCTGAGTCCCCTCCCCCTCCGAGATGTGGAAAGTCTCGGAGCCCAGTGAGTCACCGCTGGATCCCGTGTGCTGAGTGATGACGCCGGCTTCTCGTGTAGGGGGCACTGCTGCCTGGCGCAGCGACTCACAGGAGGACGTGGCTGCTGTACTGGGTTTCGCTGCAGGCTGGGCTGCTGGGCCCGTGGGGCCTGAGGAGGGCAGGCCTTCCCGCGCTGGAAGGTGGAATGGTGTGCCTCAGCGTCCCCCGGAACTCCACTCCAGGCCAGGTGTCGGTCACACGTCCCATTCCTGCCAGGCAAGCCTCCAGGGCTCTATGCCGTGTGACCTTGGGAAGTGTCTCCCCCTCTCTGGCCTCAGTTTCTCCATCTGCATCACGAGAGGTGCCCTTTAAAGTCTGAAATGCTGTGTCTGTGACTAACTCTTCCTAAGGAGGGAACTAGGCAGAGATATGTGGACGGGGTTGGCCGAGGGCCTAACCAGTCCCCGCGGGCGTTAGCAGGGTCACTAAGGGGCCGCAGTGGGCTCTGCGCCCATCTTCCTTGCAGCAGTGATGGATGGCCGCAGAAGCACGGGGAGGGGGTGCCCCCGCTTTGGAGCCAGACTGCTTGGGTTCACTTCCCAGCTCTCCCAGGTACTTGCTGCGTGACTTTGGGGAAGTTGCTTAGCCTCTCTGTGTCTAAGTCACCTCCGTTGTAGAATGAGGATAATGCCAGTGGCTACTTCATAGGATTCAGAGAGGTTTAATGAGTTGACACATATTTACTGCTTGGAAGAGTGACTACTAGCACAGACTCCTCGTTCCAGAGGAGGCGCCCTGTTGAGCGTACGTTCTACCCTGTGTCACTGGGCCAGGGGCACACCTCTCTCCTGGTGCATATGGCTGCCTGAGCAGCCTGGTGACAGAACAGAGGGCTGGGGGGTGGGCGGGGGCCTCGCCTCTGCTCAAGCTCGTTTTCAGTCCACTGCAGCGGTGGCGCCGAGCAAGGCGAGCCTCCTGCGTTGCATGAGCCGTACATGCGTGTGCATGTTTGCGTTGTGCCCGTGCCTGCACCCACGTCTGAATCCCAATATATCTAATTGCATCTATATTTCTGAATGCCGTGCAGAACGTGTGTGTAAGCACGGGTGTGTTATTACAGACAGCGACAGTCTGATAAACACATCGGAGCCGCTGTGCGCCCGCATCCGCACGGATCTGTGTGCCGTGAGTGTGTGTGTGTGTGTGTGTGTGTGTGTGTGTGTGTGCGCATGCGTGTCTCTGCGCAGGAATGCGTGTGTGCAGTTGTCTGCTGGTCCCCGAAGCAATCTCCACCTTGTGTGTCCCATCACGGGAGTTTGTGTTGACATTCTGAAGTGGGAGCCTTGCGGGTACATGTCTCTCTTTGTCTCTGTGGAACTGGCATGCCTTTATGCTCATCTGTGTGGACCTGCTTCTGTGTATTTGTGTGTGAGAGAGACAGAGAGACAATCGGCCAGCCCTCCAAACACAAACCCCATCTCTGCTGGCCCCCTGCCACCCGAGGCCCCTCCCCCAGAGCCTGCGTCCGTCCCACCACTGGCTCTTCTATTCCAGCCCCCGTTCTGATCAAGGTTAAAGCAGAAGCTTAGAACCCAAACTCCACGTGAGCGTCACCTGGAGAGCTTTAGACAGTACCAATGCCGGACCACAGCGGAGAGATTCCGACTCAGTTGAGCTGGGGTATTTGGGGAAGGTTGTACACTGGGCCAGGGTTTGGGGAGGAGGCGATGAGTGCTCTGTAGGCGGGGGCAGCCCGGTTCTGGAGGGGGTGGTGCTGCTGTCACGTCAGACGCCACTGAGAACAAGGAGCTCTGCTTTTATCTCTTTGGCCTGAGGTTGTTGAAGGTGTACAGGGGTCCTCAAACTTTTTAAACAGGAGGCTAGTTCACTGTCCCTCAGACCATTGGAGAGTGGGCACTGTGGGCCCAGGACGAGTCAGCTGCTAAGCAGGACAGGTAGCTGCAGCAAAAAACACCTGGCGGGCCGGATAAATGACCTACGCAGGTGTCATGTGGCCCACGGGCCGTAGTTTGAGGACGCCTGGTGTAGGAGAATCAGCCCCTGATCTCGGAGGCCTTCTGCCTTGCGGTGGCTCCTCTCACCCCTCTGCTGGCCACGAGAGGTGGGACCAGGCACTCCTTCATCCTAGCCAGGCAGGTCAGCGGGACCCTCTCTTTGCAGGCAGGTGGAGGTGACTGAGCCCTCTGGGGACCACCCCTGCCTGGTCATGCTAGAGGCAGCCTGTGGCCATCAGGGGTGTGGCAGGTCCTGAGAGCAGGTACAGAGACTTCTGAAGCCTGAGTGCTTAGCATCGGCTGTGACTTGGGGTGCCCAGGAGTGCCGGGGCCAGTGCTTCTCAGCCTGCCCCGTCCTCCCTGACCTGCAGGAAAAGGCTGGGCCACCATTGCCGTGGCCTCCCGGGCATCGCAGAGCATCTCCTGGGGACACCTGAGACCTCCCTCAGCATCTCTGAGTGAGCCCTGAGCAGGTGGATAAGATGGGGGCTCCCTTTTGTTGAGCCTGCCTGCAGCTGGTTTCATTTTTTTGGGGTGCTTGCTTAACACCAGCTTGAGCTTGGGAGGCCGTGGGGAGAGGGGGAGAGAGGTGTGGTTAGGCAGGGAGCCAGGGGCACAAAGGACCCGAGAGTGTGGCAGCTCTGCCAGCTGGTGGGGGTGTGCAGAGACTAATGGCTGTGAAATGCACGTGAGTGAAGGGTGGCCTCCTAAACCAGGCACCTGTGGATTCCCAGTGCCCCTGATATGGGCCTGCTCAATCTTTTTGATAACAATTTAATAATAATAATTATTTAAAAATAACTGTAACCGTAATATGGTCATGCCAGGGCCTATTTAGCAGTGCCTGCATGATGAATGCTTTGCTGCCCCATTTTTTGTTGTTGATGCCATTTTAATGAGGCTGCGGCGACTATCCTTGCATATGCTTCTCTTTGTCCCAGGGCAAATACTTCCCAGATGTGGAGTTGCTGGGTTGAAGGATGTATAGATTAATGATCAATTTCAGGAGCAGAGCTGACTCCTCCCCTGGGAGTGTGCTGTGCTCTCGCAGCCTCCTCCCTGGCTTGACTCCCTGAAACCCATCTGGTCCCCACCAGCAGCCCTGGTCCTCCTGGACCTGCTGCCTTAGAGCTCCTGCAGCTCTGAGGCCTGAGCACACTCTTCAGCTGTCATTGTGATTTCTGTGTCACAGCTCAAAGCTTTGTCTGGAAGGTGAAGCGGGATGAGGTATGGAGAAAGGAGGGTGTGTTTGTTAGGTAGCAGGCCAGGCAGCTGGAGCAAAGAGGCCCTTTAAGGGTGAGTAAATTAACCAGAGATTCTTTTCTCTCTGAGGAACAGTCTGGAGGTAGGCGGGCCATCTAGGTAGGAGGGGTGGCCGGGCTCCATAAGGTCACTCGGCGGGTGATCCTGGCTCCTTTGGAGCATTGTTGCTCCCCAGACCCTCAGATACTGTCCTTGTCCGCCCTGTCAAAGCTGGGTCCAGCATGCGGGAAGGGCAAACGAGCAGGAGGGGACAGCATGCTCTGCCCTTGTGGACAGGAGGTACAGACGCGGCCTGGTGCCACTGCCACCCACATTCCTTAGACATGAACATCGTCAGGTGCCTGCATCTCTGAGCAAGAGAGAGGCCAGGAAATGTCATCTCAGGGGGGGCATGCATGTGCCAGCTAATGCTTTGTCACTGTGGAGGAAGGGGAGGATGTGAAGATCTGGGGAGACCACTCTGCTGCCGAGAAAGCCACTCCAGACCATCCCAGTGGACTGACGGGGCTGCGCCAGTGTGTGGCCACAGTATCCCCAGTGCAGACTGGGTGCTCGGCAGATGTTTGCAGGATTGAAGAATGAAGAACAGCATGGGTGTGGGCATGGGGGTGGGCTGCCCTTGGGCACTGAGAGCCGTGCTACAGGGAGCAAGGGGGGTAGGGTGGGAATAAGGAAGGGCAGGTGGTCTCTGCCCCTTCTGCCGTGCCGGGCTCACAGGATTTGTTCCTTTCCTTCTTCTCTAGCCTGCAGACACCTTGGGACTGAGCGGCAGCTGCTGTCGGTGGGAGGCCAGCAGTGCTGGCTGAGCGGCGTCATGGCCAGTGTCGTGCAGGTCTCCCTGGCTGCCCTCCTCCTGCTGCCTATGGTAAGGGCCCAGGACCCTCCCCTCCATGACCACTGGAGCCCCTGGCTCAGCTGAGCCCCCACTCCAGAGAACCTGTGTCTTTTGTGTGCCCTCAGCTAAGCTAGTCACCTGGCTGTATCCTTGGCAGCACTACGACTGGACCGTCCAACACCTTTGCGTGAAGTAGAAAAGGTGTCCCTTCCTCAGAATCCTGTGCTGATTTGAATGGAAATTGTTACAAAATATACAGATCTATCATGATAGTGACATGTATGGCCAACTTTGGAGTTGTGCAGTACACAACCTTCTCAACTGTGTGCAGGGGCGTCCCTGGTCGGGGCTGCAGCACCCTCTTTTGATCTTCTAGTCCACCGCCCACAAGGGTGCTGCCAGGTTAGGACTCAGAAGCCTGTGCTCTGCTCCTGTCTCCCCCCTGAGCAGGGGTGGGGGTGGGGAGCAGGCAGGGGAGGATTCCCAGGCATTGCTCCACCACCGACCAACCAGCAGTGGGTGAGGCTGTCCTCAGAGTGCCGGGTTTCAGTCCTGCCTCTGCCCTGACTCACTGTGAGACAAACGTGACACTCCCCCTAGGAGCCGCCTGCACATCCCTGAATAGTCAAGATGGGGCCGTTCCCCAAACATGGCCCTTGGCAGCTCAGATGCCTCGTGACTGCTCCACACTCACTGACATCCCCTAGGGAGCATCCCTGCCCCAGGGTTTTGAGTCAAAGTGACAGCATTGGAGGCAGCTGTCCCAGTGGCAGTGCATGGGCTGTGAAGTTACTTGGTCCTGAGCTTGAATCCTGTATCTGCCACTAACCAGCTGTGTGACCTTGGGCTGCGGTTCCTTAACTGCTCTGAGCCCTGGTTTCCTCTCCTGTAAATGACAGCAGTGAGTAGCCCCACTGAATGCTGTCACCACCCCTTTGCTCCCAGCTGCCGGAGTGCACCTCCTTCCTGGGCCACCAGGGAGGGGGGCAATGAGCCTTCTCAGCCTGTCCTCTCCCCACCACTTGCTTGCTCCCCTAAAGTACAGTAGTAGCCTCATGGCCTTGGGAGCCGCAGTGCCTGGGTTCGAATCCTGACTCTATAGTGTACAAAGCCATGTGACTTTGAGCAAGTTACTTAACATCTCTGTGCTTAAGTTTCCATGACTGTAAAATGGAAAAATAATAAAAATAGTGCCTACTTTATAGTACTTGAAACACATACACACACATACACACTCATGTGACACTTGGGATAATGCTTGCACCTAGTAAAGTCCTACATGAGTTTGCTAATATTATTGTAAAATGTGGAAACTAAGACCTAGGAAGGGAATGGGATCTGTCCAAGGCCAGCAGTGAGTAGGTGACTGAGACGAGCCCGCATGGTGTCTGTGACAAAGTGGATGGCAAGGCCCCTGGTGGCCCTGACATTTCTCTGTCACTTTCCTCTTCCTGCTTCTGTTCCCACTTCCCCCAAGACATTGCCCTGGGGCTTTGGTAGGAGGGCTTATGCATGGGCCACCCAGCCCCCCACCACCCATCCTGTGTGTCTCCTGCAGGCCACCGCCATGCACTCCGACTGCATCTTCAAGAAGGAGCAAGCCATGTGCCTGGAGAAGATCCAGAGGGCCAATGACCTGATGGGCTTGAACGATTCCTTCCCAGGTGAGCAGGGTGGTTAGGAGGATATGTGTCCCCAGCACATCCAGGCCAGCCTTGAGAACTGGTCTCCCAGCCTTCTGCCGCCTTGCAAGCAAGCAGTAGTCAAGGGGGCGGGTCTCTGGGACCTTCAGAAAAGCCCTTTGGGGCAGTAGCTTCCTGGATCTGCTCTGGGCAGTGACGCTTGGGGCCAGACTGCTCTGGATGCCTTAGGGCCATTCTGGGTGGCTGGATGTGGCTGCCTTCTCTCCCCGGGGGGCTGGGATAGAGCTAGGCTGGGCAGCGGCTGTCAGAGAGCTTGTTAGCAGGCAGCCTGGGCCTGGTGGCAGCAGGGACACAGCTGTTGCAGCAGCTGAGCTGTAGAGCACTTGGTCAACTCAGGGCAGGCGGTATGGGGTCGTTTCCCACCTCCTCTGCTCATTCCTCAGAAACCTCAGAAAGCAGAGAAGAAAGCCCAGTGGGAACCCCAGTCCTGAAGACTGCCTGGGGCCCTGCTTCTCTGGGGGCCGCTGTGAGCATTTGGGGAGAGCACTGCTTCCTGGTGCTGGTTGGGCCACACGTTGCAGGACATTCAGCATTCTTAGCCTCTACCCTTAAATGCCCATAACACCCGCTGATCCCAGTGACAACCAAAAATGCCTCTCGACATTTCAGATGTCCCAAGGGAATGGCACCGCCCCTGGTGAGAGCCAGTGGCCCTGTGGACCCTTCTCTTCCCAACTCCCCCGCCCCGTAGGTGGGAGGCTCCAGCTTGCAGAGGCAAAGGTGCCTGCAGCTTTTGGCCTGAGGGGAAGTTGGGGATTTGGGGGTCGGGGCGTCTGGTGGCCTCCCCAGCCATCCTTTTGCGCAGTTGCTGGAGGGCTGGCTTCCTGTCCGCCTGAGGGCGGGGCTCTGCTCGGGCCAGAGGGATCCACTTTTCCCGCTGGATCCGCCCAGCTCCTCTGAGCACCATCCGTTTAAACACTTGATTAATCCGCAGCCCAGTTAAATGTAATGGTCCCACTAGACCGAGCGCCCGGCCAGTTGCTTCTCAGTGAACATTAACTGGAGCTACTCCGGCCACAGTGGCCTCTCCCTCTGGCCAAACTCTTGCTCAGCCCTAGCGAGACTCCAACAGTGGATTCTAGGCCCCACCAACTAGGGAAACTGAGGCAGGGAGCCCAGATGGGCACAGAGTTGGAGAAGACCGGAAGAATAGCGGAAGAATAACTTGTTCACGTGTCTTGCTTGGGGGATGGGAAAATGGGCACTGAGGACAGTTACTGTTTAGACCACACAGGGGGTCAGGCCGAGGTAGGTCTGGAACCCCTGCATCCTGGCCCATCCCAGGCCACTGTTCCTGCGTGGAATGTCTCAGATGCTTTTAGGGTGGAGCAATAAAAGCAGCCAGGAAGGAAGAAAAGAATAGAGGTGGGGGGTGGGGAGGCAGGGGCCACAGGTGAGCTGGCTGCAGTTGGCTGGCAGGCTTGCCCAAAGGGATGTCCTGGCAGAAGCAAGTGAGACGCATGTAAGGACAGATGCCATCACGGGGGTGGGGGCAGGCCGGTGTGGGGAGGAGGCCTTAGCCCCAGCTGAGCTCAGGAAGGGATGAGTTTGCTGTGGGAAGGATTCATGGAGAAGGTGGCGTTGAAACTAGATCCTCAGTTCTCAAGCCTGGTTGCACATCAGAATCCCCAGGGGAACTTTTAGAAAAATGTACTCAAGCCACCGTCCAAACCAATTCAATCAGAACCTCAGGTCCGGCATAGTCGCCATAATTTTTAAAAGCTCCCCGGGTGATTGTAATGAGAGGCTGATACTGACACCCCTTGCGCTGGGCCCAAGGGATGGGTAGGCGTATGGAAAGCAGGTGAGCACTGAGGGATGGCTGAATGGGAGAACATTCTAGGCTGAGGGAACCACAGAAGCCTGATAGACAGGAGCCTGACATTTGGGGGGCAGTGAGTGACCCCTGTATCTGGAGCCCTGAATTAGAGTGGGTGGGGGGGCTAGCTGAGGGCCAGGGAGCAGGTATCTGTACATTTCATGCCTGTCTCCACTGGAGTTGAAGGTGGGGGTACAGCAGTGGCTGGCTCCCACTGTGCCAGCATCCTCGCAACTGCCCCCAGGACTCTGCCTGGCCCTCCCCAGGGAGCCCACGAATGAGGGATGGTCATGGGAAGGCAGCGTGTGAAGGATTCTCCAAGAGCTGAGGGAATAGCTCTCCCCTAACCCTCAGCACCCAGACAAGAGAGGAGGCCGTACCTTCCCACAGTCTGCCTGAGGAGAGGGTCCCTCATCTCTCCCCTTTCCTTGAATCATAGGGTGGGGCTCAGTAGGACAGAGCTGGGAGCCAATTAAGCAGAAGCAAAGGGCAGCCATTAGGTGGGAAAAGGAAGAGACTGAAGGCCCAGCTGGACCACCAACTCCAAGGCTTTTTCCTGCTCTGGGCCTCACGATCTTGTCTTTTAATTTGAGGGGAGTAGGATGGATCATATTAATAACCAGTACTTTGATAGACTTCCTGTTTGCCAGGCACTGTGCTAGTGCTTTATTCTGTCATCACAGCAGCCAGGGGGCTGGGTCTTTTATTACCCCTAGTTTATAGAAGAGGAAGCTGAGGCACAGGGAGGTTATATACCTTGCTTGAGGCCACAGCCCATTAAGAGGCAGAGGTGGAACTTGAACTCAGGCAGCCTGTGCCCTCAGCCACTGGGATACGCTGCCTCAGAAGGACTCACACTCTGGGTCCCAGCCCCCACTGCCAGCCATGGGACCTCTGATGGGCACTTAGCACCTTAATTTTCTTGTCTGCAAAATGGAGGAGGAAGCAATAACTATGACATAGGATTATTCTATTAAACGATAAAGTCTGTGAGAAGTGCTAAGGACAGCACGTGGCATTTGCTAAGCATTCAGCAAAGACACTGTAGTTATTAAAAGTTCTCATCTCAGAGAGTCAGGGGTCTCCAGGGCCTCCCACCTCCTGCTAGATCTGAGTTATTCTGGGAAGTGGAGACGCGTCTCTAGGAAGCAGGTCAATGCTGCTTTGAAAGATCTGGGAATGCTTTCTGGAAGAGCAGAGGAGGGGCTGGGGACCAGGAGGCTGGGCCTCAGAGATGGGGAGGCACGGGAAGGTGGGGGTGACCTGAGGAGAGGCGGGGAGGGAGCTGTGAGTACGGCAGGGGGGAACTGGAACAGCCGGTTAAAGGCTGGGCATGCTGTCGCTGTCTCTGTCTCTCTCTCACACGTGCGCGCGCGCGCGCACACACACACACACACACACACACCAGAGCTCATTTAACCCTCACCAACCTGGGCTGGGTAGAGCTTTAGGCCATTTTATGGCCTAAACTCAGAGAGGTTCGTTACTTGCCCGCTACCCAGTGAGTCCCACAGCTGGGAAGGACAAGTAACCGAGGCTTCGGATGGTTCCAGAGTCAGTGCCCTTCACCACCAGGCTGCACTGCAGCTCAGAAGAGGAGTGAGGAGACACCCTGCCCTCAGCCTTCCCAGTGCCGGGGTGAGGGGTCACGCAGCAGAGACAGTTGAAACGCCGCTGGGAGAGGAGTGGGGAGAGGAAGGCCTTACGTGTGCCCAAGGCCTGCACTTTTTATTTAAGCTATGGAAAGGCCGCAGGGTGTTTGTTTTGCTCTGGCCTGGGCAGCATAAATTCTTAGCCCCTAGTGACCCCCTGGGGAAGGAGAGGGGGCAGGCCAGGGCGGGGGGAGGCCCCTGGGGAAGGCTGGCCTGAGAAGGAGCGTCCATGCAGGCTCACTGCGCCTGTGTGTGTGTGGGGGGGCTTTGCCCTGCAGGCTGAGGTTGGAGGACCCTCGTCAAGAGGACCTCAGAGAAGGCGGCCTCTGGGCCCGATGCCAGGCCTCAAGTTCTGGGAGAGCGTGGACTCCACTGTCGGCTGCCAGGGCAGGGCCTTAATTTCCCCCCGGGGCCCCTTAAGAGCCTCTGGCCTGCTCTTCGGGGCATCCTCGCCGGAGCTCGGCTTCTTGGCTCCTAATTAAACACAATTTTGAAAGATGGGCAGTGACCCCTCTCATCAGGCTGGGCGGCACCTTAGAACCAGAGCCGGGAGCATTTACAGCCAGTAATGTCCAGGCTCCTCCCCAGACAGACGTCATCAGCATTTGGGTGGGGGTGCTCCACGAGGGTGTGTGTTATAAGCCTCTAGGTGACTCCCAAGTGTATCCAGGTTTGCTGGCCAGAGCGCAGCATCCACCAGGCTGCTTGTGCCGTCTTGGGCCCGAGAGCGCACCCCAGGGCACAGGCCGGCCAGGCTGGGGTGGGGGGGTCACTCCTGGCCAAGAGTCAGGCCTGAGAGTGACAAAGAGTGAGCAGGTGTGCATCATGTCATTAATCTGTGCCAGCCCTTCCCTGCCCACACTGTGCCCAGGCACAGACACCAGGCTTGGAACTCCAGCCAAAGGTCAGCCGATGTCCTTGAAATGCACTTGAAAAGGAGAAATGAAACCCGATAGTTTGTACCAATATATATGAGTATGAACTCACTGCAATGCTTTTCTCTCTATATATATTATGTATTTTTCATATATTTATGTGTATTTTGTGTGTCTCTCATAATCTTCCAAATCTAGTAAAGTGAGTGAGTAGGAGTGAGAACAGTAATCTGTTAGAAGGGAGGTGTGAGAAAACCTCATACCCAAAGAGAACCTGGGATGGCAATGCATGGAGTGGCCTTCCGAGTGGAGGCCAGGAGACAGGGACACACCGAGGGGAGGCACCGGAGCTCGGCAGGCAGTTGGAAGGCGTGGAAAGCAGAGGCCAGAGAGGTGGCGTGGGGCGTGAACGCAAGCTTGCTGACGGGCTTACTTTGTCTGCAGCATCCTTGGTCTATTTTAAAGGTGTTTATTGAGAAGAGGAGACGGTCTGGAGATGTTATTGACTGGTTTTTGTCTCCCATTCCAAAGTCCTGAATTCCAAGTGGGACTTGAGCCAACGCCAGGCCGGCTCTGTCATGTGACAGGTACACGGGAGGCTGGGGCCAGAGGCGG